TCGGCTGTACTAATTATAAGTTGTCAGCAAAATTGAATAAATTAAAAAATGAGCAAATTTAGATGTTGACCACATACTATGAGATAGAATATTATGCGGAATTGCATCATATATCATCTTATTGTGCTTTGATTGACGAAATTAAATTATTGCTCCAATTGCAAAAACACTTTCAACGTATGTACATATACTTTCTTTTTCTCCTGGGCTCTTCTTTTCGCCATAATAACACGCCAACATCATCAATTTCAATCTCGGAGCTCATCATTCTTAACCCATAACTTCTCATGACATAGTTTTCATACACGTCGCAACCATGTCTCGATACGAGATCCTACTCCAGGATACTCGAGATTATACGAGGATACCGACTCCCCTTTTTTTAGCAATCTCGTTTCTCGAGCAGGAAACACCCCGGTGTACCACACGACAAGACCCTTGTAGCGCGGATATAACGCGTGTTAGTCGTGCTCGTGAGCAAACAACCGTAGGGTTGACTGCAATTAAGACTTCGAACTCGCCAGTCGACGTTAATGGATATCTAATTTGCTCTCGTTCGACTTGCGGTCCAAAGGCGACAAGGGTCGCGTAAGCGAAGACAAAGGGAAAGGAGCCGGGATCTCCGGGGTAAGGGAAGAGGGAAAAGACGAGGTAGCGATGTTCATTGTCCTGTCGCGAGAGTCAAGTTTGGTAGGAATGACAGGTCGATATCGCGAACAAAAACGTAAGACACGCTTCGACAGAAAGAGAGAGAGAGAGAGAGAGAGGTGTGGTATAGACAGAAAGGTTTCTTGCCTACGCTCCGGAGAGTAGCTTGCGCAACTACGTAAAGTATACATATTATGTAAAGGCAAGGTAGAAACAGCATGTAAGTATCGGTAACGGAAATTGGAAATTCGTAAGTGCATGACGCGGAGATTACGTAACGGGGGTAGATAGTTTGATTTCGCGCGCGGTGATAGTGACTGTGTAAACAATTTTCGTCAACATACCGACCGAAATTATATGTACATATCTACCGCGTACGCGATATGCGTTATTTTCATATAGTAGATTGTTATCGCGTGAACGTTTGCCTTCGTAATACTGCTGTCAAAAATACATATTGGAATATAATAGCAGAAATATGATGCACGCATAATAAACGATTTATTTTAACAGTAAATATTTCCTATAACTTCTCCGAAATGATATAATAATGGAGAATGATAATAATATATTATGCAAATTATGAAATTTGTTGTATCTTACACACGTATAGGTATACAAAATATGTAAATTACGCTAATAAATATATTAGTTATATACTGAAAAGCTTTTACCAATTATAAATTGCCAGAAGAATTATAAATTAGAGAAGAGGAAAATATGATTAAATTATAAAACAGCTAGAAAGATAACGTGTCCTGAAGAATAAACGCAAGAAAGCGAAAAGTTACAGATTATAAAAAGGGATAATCTTCCCAAGTGAACACTTTGCGGTGTGTTGTATTGACTAACAGTGGAGTCAAGTCGAGAGACAGGAAACATCCGGTTCGAGAACAAAGGCAGAGAGGAAGAGGGGGTGAGAGAGAGGGGGGGTGAGAGAGAGGGGGGGGAGGGACATAGAAGAAGAGGAGATCACTTGTCGACATACCACCGCACGTAATTTCCTGACGGCGCGGCGGCGTTACCCTGCCTAGGAGAGCAAAACGCCGAGGAGAGGGAGAAGGAGGGGCGAAAACTGGGGTGGCTCGTAAAATTAACGTAACTACATCGAAACCTCGAGCCCTCAGCTACGCGAGAGCTACGTATCCCGCGCTATGATCAATGACACATCACTGCACACAGCGGTGCGAAAGCGTACTCCGTCGCTCGCGTAGGGCTCGAAATTTATAGTGACCTGACTCACGGAGCGTTATACCCGGAAACTCCGCAATCGCGACGGATAGTATAATAAATTAAATTAAGAAGGGCGCTCCTCAAAGGACGACGTGGTTAAGTTGAGCAGCCGGAGCGAGCTGCTTTCGTAATGCATACGTCTTGCGCCGCTCGTGTGACCGGGTTTTAGACAGATATTCGAGACTTGAATTCTCTCCGGCGATTCGTAGTTTGTATATAGCGCGAGAGAACATTACATAATAAGGAAAGTATCTAGATTTATATAAATCTGTCATCAGGATACTTTTCGTAGATTGAAATCATTTAATTGCGATTATGTTATGAATTAAGATAATTTTACAGAAAACTACGAGAGTGAGTCGATAATCATCCGCACTCTGTTTCTATAATTTATTAGAACAATAGTAGGGAACGTACAATTACATTATTTTTCAACATAATTGCCTTGTTTTTCAACGCACTTGTTCTAGCATTCCACAAGCTTGTATATATCTTTGGAAAAAAGTTTTTGGTTTTGTCTCTTTACGACATTGGGTTTCGAGAGCATCCTGCATATAGTTCAGATCTTGCTCCCTCACATTACCATCTGTTTGGTTCATTTAAAGATGCTTTAAGAGGTCGTTGATTTGCCAGACCAACACGCAAGAAGCGGTACACACATAGCTAAAGGACAGACCAAAAATATTTTTTTCGGGGGTATATGCAAGCTTGTGGAACGCTGGAACAAGTGCACTAAAAAGCAAGAGGACTATGTTGAAAAATGATGTGATTGTACGTTCTCTTCTGTTAATTGTTCAAATAAATTATAGAAATAGAGTATGTGTAATTATTGATTCACCCTCGTATATTAGTAGCTTTATATCGTTTAAAATATGTTCTGATAATTTAAAGTTGGATTATTGACTCACCCTCGTATATATTAGTAGCTTTAAATCGTTTAAAATATTTTCTAATATGTTAGAGTTGAATATGCAATACTAATATACTAAATTTATTTTACTGCAGCATTGCGGCTTTAGGTTTCAATTTTAATTAGGGTGGATTTTACAGAAATAGAAAAGAGTGAAAAACGTTATTTCCTAAAAGAAACACAATTATCGATAACTATGTTTATTTTATGAATTCGATTTTTTTGTGAGCCTCTTGACTTCACTGTTATTTCCAAATTCATGAGAATTGTCCACGTAACTGACACATAATTGACACCCAATTAGATCATTCAATCTATCTGAAGGACAAATGACAGCTAAATTGGATTAAAATATGAATTTCTACAGCGGTGTGGAAAATGTACCTGTGCGCATTTAAAGACACGTATATTGTAATTGTTTGAGAATAGTTTTAAGTAAAATGTTCTAAAGGAAAGAGCAAGCAATAATCGGCTACAAACTAATGATCGTGTCTCTTATCGTCTTATCTCGCCGTTATATACGCGCATATCGGTTTAATAACAGTAAAATCAACGTGACATCTGGCAAACATTAAGACCTTAACCACGCGAACGATGCTGCGTGATGATCAATGGCACGTCACGCGCCGTGTTATAGAGGCTTATCCACTCGCATAGTCAGGATTTATAGCGATTTAAGTGGCCTTGAATTTCAAGAAATAAATTACCCTCTCGCGCTATTTACGCTTTACAAATATGTCGTGCGTTTGTGCCAATTAGAAATTATGTCATATTCAAAATGATATATGACCTAATTGTCTACACATTTGAAAAAAGACGAATCGAGAGGACGAAATTTTCGAAAAACCATGAAAACCGTGAGAAATTACTGCGACGATGATGCATCCGCTTAACTAATTAATAAAAAACCACAATTGTGGAATCCCGATAATCCGTCATTGATAATCGAAGAGATTAATGTCCATGAGATTCACGGTGGATTTCACAATAGAAAAACAAATAGCTTGAGTAGAAGTGGAGCCTTGATAACACAACGCGCAACGCACATCGATAGAAAGCTTTGTAATTCGCCGATACCCGAGATCTGTAGAGAGTCTAGGGTCTGATCGGGTTTGTAGTAACTTGAATTGAACATGATGAAAATTCCTTTCAAGATTTTAATCATGACAAATCGCTCTGCAAAGCGGATAAGGGCATTGAAGACTTTTTAGCGGGAAATAGACGAGTGGCAAAAATCTATCACTTATAACCATCCGATAACCACAACTTCTGAAACAGTCTACGCTATTACGGGCTCGATATAGAATGCCGAGGCTAGATACCCCTGAGGCCTAATAGTTTTATGATGAAATCGCTAACGATAAAATTTCTTGCGCCATGAGAGTTAACGATATTAGGAATTTGCGACAATTGTTTCACGTTTAAAGTAGAACTGAAATTGATGGATTCGGTCTTTTTATCGATTGAAAATTAATATTTAATGAAATTAGTCGTAATATTGCATCGTGTATTATAGCTCATTATTCTTGAGTAAGACTATTTTATAAGATTATTTCCGCATTAGAACGATTAATGTACTTTAATAATCAAAATTACATTTAAATTAAAGTAATGCATAGGTATAAAAGATATTGCAGTTAAAAAAAACTAATGTCGTCCATCCAAAGGATAATAACATATAAAATGTTTTAAAATTACTTCTATCACATAGAAATCCTTTGTAAAGTAAATCCTTTGTAAATCAAACTATAAAGTAGGCACTTTTCTAAAAAAAAATTATATCAGATTATGAGTCGCTTTAATCTTAATCGTGAACAATTTCAAAGCTATATGTACTTTGACATTATTATTGAAGAAAAAGCAAATCCAAATTAATAAAAGAAATTGCAAAAAATAATTATAAAAAAAATGGCAATGATTTTCATTATAGAAATTTGGCTTGTCATTGGACTTTTTTTTGCTAAATATAACGAAAGATATGCTCGTGCATAATGACAAGTATTTAAAATCGCTCGGTGAAGATATCGGTGAATGCGAATCCGTTTATCTGACAGTTTGCTAGACAGATTTCCATCAATATCAATTCTTTTCGGCGTGACGTCGATCAACCAATCCAGTAAATTCATAATCGCGTAATCCAAACACAGAGATAGAGCAAACGCTACGCCACTATGGAGAAATTATGAAATTGCCATGATTTGGGACTCACTTGCTGCGCGAGAATGTGGTACACGGTTGGTCCTCCGCGAGATCACTTCGCGTCACGGCAGGGATGTCCTCGGGCAGACGAATCGCCGAGACGAGCTTGTCGCGCAACACAACACTCGCGGTCCGGTGTCGGCCGATCGGTGTCGTACACCGAATCGGCGACTCAACCCTCGAAGGAGGGCTGCAATCGGGGACACATGATCCCCCTTGCCCACCGGGAGCGGCTCGATCCTCCGAATCCCCGATCGTGCACCACAGCGCGGTGGAGATCACTCGAAAGCCAGTTACTCCGCACTTCGCGATCCGCTGGCTAACGCGACATATGACGAAGAGAAACGTATTAACGTCGGCCGCGAGTCACCGAAGAAAAACTTGGGATGGTCACTGAGCTCGACGATGATGACGCACTGACATGTCACACTTGCCCAAACTCCCACCCGCGCTCGCAGGTTGTCGCGTGCACTCGAGGATAATCACACTATCCCACACAGTCCTTTTGTCGTGGTCGCCGTCAGGCTGCCGTAAGGTGAGTTTTCCTTCTCTCGCGGATGAAAGTGTGTCACTTGGAGAACTGGCTGCGCGATCGAACGTCACCACGGCGTCGCTTATCCCGGTGAAGGAACGCGGTTCCGGTAACCGATTCGCGCGTCGCGAACACCCTGCCTTCTCGGAGCGGTAGCAAGGGGGTCGGCAACGAGAGAGGGCGATCGCTCTCGGAGCGATGAAAATATCGATGATTCGTCGCGGATTCACGACACACGTATTTACACGCGTATCCCACGATGGGCGCAAATAATACACGCGCGTGTGTATACGCGCTAATGTATACGTGTGTATGTGCGTAAGCGCGCGCGTGTGTATGAATTTTTCGCGCTCGCAGGACGCACACGCGAGGGGGCACGGTCGACACACATCAGCCCTAGGAGAGACCCTTAGGCCGGATCCGCGGAGTTTCCTTTCACCTCGATTTTCGGTCCCTCGCCACCCCCGCGTTGCACAGGCGCGAACCGCTTTCAGAATTTCCGAGGGTCGGGCGACGCGCACGCGGGAGGGAGCGACAGCGAGAGGGAGCGTTACCCGCTGGGGTGGGAGCACCGGGGGACAGTGTTGGTGGTGGAAAAGGCGGACGGAGTACCGGGTGTGAGTGTGGATCGCAGAGCGCAAGGTAGCGAGCTCTGCCTACGCTCGAAGAGAATAAACTCCCGACTCACGACCGGTTACACCGGCATACCGAGACTACCATCGTGGCTACACGCCAATGCCCTGCCACTGGCATGGGAAGTAGGGTGTCTTGTATAGCTCGTGCTGACCGCGATATCGTGCTTGTGAGATAGTATTGCTATTGCCGCTGTTGTTGCCGCCACCGCCGCCGCCGCCGTTGCTGCCGCCGCCGCCGCCGTTGCTGCTGCTGCTGCTGCTGCTGCTGCTGCTGGGTTGTACGGGCGTGGAGGGAACGATAGGAAGGGATGGAGGGATGCGAAGGAGGGGTAGCGCAGGCGTTTTGGTGCACCGACGCATTGATCCCTGGAATTCGTGGGGACGACGATGAGGCCCGAGTGTGCGTCCACCCTTCGCGAGAGAAAAAGAGCGAGCGACAGGATGGGTGCCAGAGAGAGCGTCGACCGTTCTACTTGTAGCCAATGTCCATACCAGCAGGTGTGGACGAGGCCAGGATTTGGCAGTAAAGCGAGGTGTCATTGATCGGCGATCGTAGATTATTCGACTACCCCGTAGATCGATTGAGATGAAAGAGGCAGTGCTAATGTCTAGACTGATGTCTATAAGGTTTATAATATTTATTATGTTTATATTTCTATCAAAGGAATATTCCCATAGCGCGATTAAATACGCAAAGAATTTGGGTAGAGAGATAATTAGGTTATTACTTTAATTATTCTCCGTATTAAGTTAGAAATGGAAATCCAGATGAATATTTCTTGCATGCTTCTGTTTTAGAATATTTCATAAAATGAAATAAGAGAGGAGGATAAAATTTATATTATTATTATTATTACAACATATAAATAAAAATGTGTATAACAAGCAAGCAAGCAATTTTAAAAAGTTTTTAAATATTGGAAAGTAACTGACTTAAAACGTATAAAATAATTTTCTATTGATATTTATTTAAAAAAATAAATTTTTAGAATAAAATATTATATAATAGTTTATGGAAATACACCTGCGCACGCGCCCCTATACACAAAATACACGTATATACATATATGATATACGTATACTCACACACATTTGCTAGCCAAATAAAAAGGGTATTTCGTCTCGGCTGGCCGCGATTACTCGTTAATAAAAGAACAGGGGGAGAGATGGAATAAGAAAAGAGTGAGTTGTACAGTAAGAAAAGGGAGTTAAAGCAGCGCGAACGAGCCGGCACCGAGATTTTATTGATTTTATAATTTCTCTCTCGTATCTGACAATTCTTTTGTTCTATCTCATTGTAAAAATCGTCCGTTAATTAGACCGCGCGAGTCAAGTCATCAAAATCCATTTAATGACCTAAACGTTTATTTCCAGACTCGTTAAATTCTTTGATATTCAAAGTTTTTGTATAATATGTCATAATTATCTCTCTCTCTCTCTTTCTTTTTCTTTGATAAAAATAATAATTAACATATAAAGGCGCACATACGATAGATATTTGAAATTAAAATGAGATGTATATTTCGAAAAATTCATTTTACTTGAAAATAGAAACGCGACTGTCGTATATCAATATATATGCATGTTGTATTTTGAAACAACAAAGGATATCAGTTCTTTTTATTTCGAGATATCAAAGTTATCCGTTTCCGCTTTGCACAGAAATAAAAGTGCTGTCCAATACGTATAGATGCTAAAAATTTCATCAGATTTATAAATAACTAATAAAAAGGAAATAATATATACATATAATGTCAGTTATGGATTTTAGTTTATGGAAATTAGGTCAATCGGATATGTTTGCTATTCTCGAAAACCTTAAGATTACTTAGCAAGAGAAAATTAAGTTGAACAGCTTGTTTTCTTTTGCACCCGATTTAGCTTCGTCGTATAGTTGTAACTGGAAATGAAGTCTCAGCGGTAGGAGACCTCCTGCAAACGATATTGATACATTTTCAACAATTTTTACGATCAGAACGATCGTCGAACACGAATTGCGATACCTGGGACGCCGACACACGTAACACAGTTACTATAAAATATTCAGGCTTAGTCTGCGTGCGTATATATAGCGTCGTTGAATAAATAACGAAGAAGGTAGGGAATCCCGATTGGTTCATAACTCCCTTTCATCCCGGATTCTTTTGGTAGTCTCGTAACGAGAGCCACACATCTAAGGAACGTAAGGGCGGAAGGAGGGAGTTAGAGGGAGGAGGACGATTTACTTCTTTAAAGATTTATAGACTTGAGACTTTTAGTGGAAACGTAAAAAACCGTTTCTCGAAAAACATTAATATATAAAATAAAATTTATTAAAATTAATATTATTTATTCTAACTTTGTATAATATATATTATAGTAAGAAATAATAAAACCAATGTTTTAAAGAGACTCAAGTTAATTAAATTGTATATATTAATAGTATATTTAATAAATTTATTACAATTTTATTGATGTTAAGCAATATTATACATACATGTGAATTGCAATTTACGAATTGATATTCAATTAGCAACATGCAATGCGTAGATATACATGTATGTGCACAGAAAATATACCGAGAGTTTCGGATTCATGCTATAGATAGAAAAAGAAGAACAGAACTATTTTACTTCAACTAAGTTTGCTTCACGAGCTATACAGACTGATATCCTTTATACACGCAACTGCTCTCGAATCATGCTCGTTATATTGATTTAGAGAGAGGCGATAGAGAAAGAGACTTGGAATCTGTAGATACAAACGAGTAAATAAGACCTCAGTGAGCGACGACTTCGGGAGCTACGAGCTTTCGAATCGTGTTGTTTCTTTCAAGGAACGGAATAATAATTTTAACATTTTTCACAACAAAGTCGTTCTCTTATTCTATCGCATCCCATCCAAGAAAGGCGATGAAATATGCAATAATAAAAACGGAAGGATATATAAAAAGCAAAAGATATATACCTACTTACAGTCGGATCGTCCTGCTTTATTCAAACGGAAGAATGATGTATAACAATGCCAACTATTCTATAGATAGTTATTTTTAACGATACTTTGAACGTAGTTGTCGCTCGATTATATTTATTCTGTCGATTTCACAAAAGTACCTATATACAGAAAGTAAATAAGAAATGGTCGAACAAATGAGATACGAAATTTACACTTTTACAATATTACTCTTTTGTGTATCACGGAGATAAGATTTTAAATAAGATCTCAGATTTTAAAGATAAAAATAATATTTTTAGATTTCTATTTAAAATTGTAAAATATATTGCTCTTTTACTTAAAAATATTTTTCTTGAAACAAATTATTTTACATTTATAACAGTTAATTTATCGTGGATTAAACTTGAAAAATCATCAAACATATGCTTAACTCGTTGACTTACGATATATAATTTCAAAAACATGAGCAATTTACAACAGTCAATTAATTTACCGTGGATTAAACTTGAAAAATCATCAAACATGTGTTGAACTCGTTGACTCACGATATATAATTTCAAAAACATGAGAAATTTACAACAGTCAGTTAATTTACCGTGGATTGGACTTGAAAAATCGTCGAATATGCTGAACTCGTTGACTCCCGATATATAATTTCAAAAACATGAGCAATCAATATCCTTTCGTGAGGCACTTTGTATTATTTTATTGTCCGATGCTTCAATATTGAAAGTAACGGATAACAAAATGCGAAATGTGCACGTAAATGCGGGTTAGACTTCAAAAACTGCGCTTTCGAGTCGCGTTGTTTCTTTCGGATTATCGAGAACCTTATGATATATGTGAAGGAAACTCGGAAAAGTAGCGGGATAAAACGGGCGCACAGGATCTATCGCAGTAGTGGCTGCTTTAAGAAATATCGAGGAAACTCTGTGGGCCCTCAAAGAATAGAATACTCCAACTACGTTTAAACGGGGAGAACGGTACAACGGATACTCGATACCGTTCCTCTGGATAAACCAAGCTTGAGTGCTGTGAATGCTTGCTGACTTTCTCACGACTGCCCCTTCCGTTTTTCTCTCTATCGACGTGCCCGCTGTTCCTGCGGAGGCCCGTTTTGTATTGAAAACCAAATTTCTCTCGTAGACGCTCTACCGTCGCCGAGATGACGTTAAATCCGATATAAAACTTTTCGCTTCGACGTGACGCAATGACATCAGGTAGGAAGAGGCAGAATATGCGAACGATGGAGGAAATCTTATTTTTGCACATCGGTTTTTAGTAATCGCCTGAGGTGAAATGAAAACATTCACGTGTTGCACGAAGAAGAATGAAAAGAAGTATCCATATTACACGAACGAAAAGTGTCGCTTAATTGGTGTCAAATCTATTTTAATCTCTCTATCCATAATCAGTACTAAGTTTTTAGTACTGATTATATATGCATCGTTTTCAAATAAAGACTTCTGTAGTTTAATTGGAACGCGAACGTAAGAAAATTCCCACACCAAAATATTCGATATCTTTTAATATCTATGATTATTATAAGGACATTACTGCGATCTATCAAGTAATAGTACTGTAAGAATGTAAATCTTACAAAACATTAATAAAAAATAATAAAAAGAATGGCACAAAGAACATTTGTATGCTCGTGTATTACAGTTTTATGGTATCGAATGGCTTTTGCGCGAATCCGTGTATTCTTAGAACAATGATGCTGGTATTTCTTTGCTTTTTGCGTTTCGTTCGCGTAAATATTTATATATATCGAGTATCGAGAAAATGGGCAGACATTTACACGCTTAAACTATCGATATGTATAGCGAAGTGTATGCTAGACACGTTGTGTCGACAGGTACAGGGAAGTTCCTCTCCGGGCGTAATTCAGTAATGATCTTAGGGTAAGGTTCATAATAACTGCATAAATGAGAAGGGTTCCGTATTAATTAATTCGAGAGTGTCCGCGAATGGAAAGAGCGAGAAAGCACGTCAAAGCGTGCACAATATCGTCATACATGAAGTAGATCCCACCTTGAAAACTCTATAAAGCCACCCACTGAATCAGCATCGTTAATTTATTAAGTATGAAAACAGAATCGTTTTTTTCGTGTATATTTAATATGCAATTCCTAGCGGATTTATTCTCTGCATAACGATTTCAACTCAACGTTACGTTGCTGAGCAATTAAAAACGCATGAAAGTTTAAGTATTCATTCTTGCCAGAATATCGATTATTACCTTGGAAATTTTCAGCTTGTAGAGGAAACAGTTATTATTTAATACATGTCAAATTTATACAAAAATACATGAAATTCAATACGTGTTATTTTTATGTCTGAGGTATAACGTCGTACAAAAAGTTATTATTTAATAACTTTTTGTAAAATTCATACAAATATATGAAATTCAATACTTGTTATTTTCATGTTTAAGGCAACGCCGTACTTTTTAATCGCAAAGTATTAAGGTGCAAATAAATATGTTTCTAAACATTGCATATTAAAATGTGTGAAATGCATTTAATGTTTTGCGAATTATTAAATTCTGCTTAATAATACCGATTTAATGTGGGAGCTAATGAGAATTTGATTATTTAAGTAATTGCACTTTTTGTGTGAATCTATGTACATATATTTATGTGTATATATATATATTTATATACTTATATATAGCATGTATATTTTTTTGCGTTTAAATTCGTAAGAATCACGCGCATGTGTTTACGGGCAATGAACTAGTCGTTCAAATTTTCTTAACTAAGAGTAGTTAATGGCAAAACAAGAGTTGCACGCTTGTGAGCAACACAATACAATCGCAGCAACATTATTCATGTGTTATTACTTTATTACAAACGGGGAAGCCACGAACCAGAAATGGCTCGTAAGGGAAATGGCGGTAACACAATCTGCCTAATGATAACTAATACGTAATTCCGTGCTATTGAAATCGTGCACATTGTTTCGGACATTCGAGGGGGCAACGTTAATGGAAGAAATCGAGAGCCGTAGGAACAGATTTAATGCCGTGAACAAATAGTTCTATTAACAGCAAATTCTCATCGAATTCCTGGCGAATAGAGAAGCTCATAATTCGATGCAACATTTACACGAAAGTGTTAACGAAGACAGGAGAATCGATTCATTACAAACTTTATCGTATCACTCTTAGAATACATTTGAAATATAAATTATTATGTATATTAATAATTTTTATTCAATTTTATGAAATTCCGCTTTATATAACGAAGTAAAAAAGTACAGGAACCTTTTTTTCTAATTTCTTTCATCATCAATATTTCAATGACATTTTCATTTAATATGCGTTTTTGTTTTTAGGATGGACTATATACTATATTAATTTACATGTAAATAATATGCAAATGGATAGTATAAATAACAAAAGTTGTATAATATGATAATGAATTTGAAGCGCGGAAATTGTCATTGCTGTATTATTTATACAAAGAGGAATTATTTTCTATTTGAGACAACTTGTCTGAAATTCAATCACATTATTACCAATTTAATACCGCTGCAAATATATTGATACACCTAAAAGATTCAAATGAGCGTTATCTATATCGACATAAACTTGATGTTTAATATCATATTACTGGCAATTGAATACGTAAATGTAATCAATGCACATTTTAATTATATGTTATTGTGTCACTGCGGAGTATGTTTTTTTTTCACCGCTTTAATTCGCAAGATGTAGAATAAATAAATATGAAGAACTTATCACGCTGATTTATTTATTTGCTTGCACGAGAATAAATGCTTAAATTAGAGAGAGAAGGAGAGAAAGAGAGAGAGAGAATAAATATTTAAATTATGGAATACGTTGATTAATGCATGCTACATTATATATTACGCGAGACAAGAACATTTAATGTGGCCACTGGCAGTTCACAATTTCTTAGATGTGTATTTCTTATTAATAATAAGAAAATTATTTATTTTAGTCAGCAATTAGTACTTAGTATTTACAGAGGAATAATGAACGACACAATTTTACGAAGTTACAAAACCTTTCATTGTGTATTTTACACAATGGTGTATTTAATACGTTCTTTAAAAACGTTACTTTTTTACCGCTTCAAAAAAAAACAGTGAAATTCTCATCTCGAGAAACCTTGTCTCTGTGCAAGAAGTTTCGTACGACTCACATACTCAAGAGGAACATTTTCCATAAAAAGTTGTATATACTCTTGATTAAAAAATATTACTATGTAGCACATATAGCAGTTAAAAATATAAAATTCTTTCATTTCTCTGCTTTATCGACTGTTTAATATATTTTGCATTAAAAAATTTTATTATATTTGTAAACATTATTTTTTTAATTGACGAATGATTACGCGTATACAAATGATTAAATATTGTATTTTCTATTATCAGCACACTAATATATAGTTTGTTAATTTATGACGTTTCCGAAGACGCAATTATTTTGTTTGCCCTCCTGGACGTAACAAATTTAAGCAGAATCGCCGAGTTTATCAATCTATTGCATTATGCAATCTCGATGTATCGCGACAATAAACGTGCATATCGAGCGAGAATGATTTTTTAATGTTTGAAAGCTCACAAGCTGGATGTCGGTCAAATTCGAGAGGCTCAGAAATACCGACTGACTCTGTCGAGAGTTCAGCTGGCGTTACATACGAGAGGTCGCCAGGAATCGATAAATCAGTTGTTTCGGGCAGTGTTACGCTGTGTCGGTATTGTTTCCGTCTTCGCTATGTTTGCGAGATGCACAGAGATGGCAATAGTTTAGTAATTACCTGCTTACACGACTGTTTGTCGTTTATCTACTCCTTAGTTAGTCTTTACTCCTTTACTCGCACTGATTTGACATTATTTCTTGAATGAAAGGTTGAGATATCGCTCGGCTAATTAATCGAGATGATTAAGTCCGCGCTGGGGTTGACGAAATTTCTTGGATTACGAGAAAGCGCGTTGGTCGATGGCCGATTATCCTCAGCGTTTGCGCGTTTGAGTGTCATAACCTCGAGGAATGTTTGCACTACCCAGTTATACAGCAAAGAGATTCGAACGCAGAATGAAAAATTTAAGGTCGGCCAGAGCTCAAAATATGGATTAGTTGAGGGAGAAACTATGCCCGAGACAACCAACGTTAGTCAGCAGTGAGTACCAGTTTCACTTGTCTCTTATATAGCATTCTTCAAGCTTGCATAACAATTTTAATCTGGTTTTAGTTTTGTACAACAATCTTAGATAAATGTTAGATAAATTTTTATGTATTTGTATTATCTTGGCTATATGGATAGAAAAAAAGGATTTACCATTGTGGCCACTAAAAATGTACTTTATTAATCTTTCCCAATTACACAGGAAATAAACTTTATGTTTATTACGTTTCAGGGAACATCTATTTCCTGATAAAGATACACCGAATCGGCTCTTTAATGGTGTACCATATAAGGAATTGCATATTATCAATATAAAATCAACTCCTAACAATACAATTATGACTTTTACAAATTTTAACGGCAAAGTATTATCGCTGCATACGGCAGGTATAGAGGGTTATAAGAATGCTAAGAAAGGGACGAACATTGCTGCTCAACAAGCAGCTATGACTCTTGGCAATGTAAGCATACATTGAATGTTATCTGTGTTAAAGTTTTGTGCATGAAACATGATGCGTTGTACTAAACAAGAGAAAAGTATATGCATTTATTTTTAAAATGTACATATTTGTCTATTTTTCAGCGCGTTCTTGAATATGGTGTGAACACAATAAGAGTACGAGTACAAGGTATTGGGGCTGGTAGAATGGTAGGTATCTTACAAAAAGCATTTCTTATTTTCTGCACATTATAGCTATCGGTAGATTATATGTTTTAATATGGAAAATTTTATGGCTTTCAGTCTTCTATAAAAGGTTTTCAAATGACAGGATTGAACATTGTATCAATTACGGATGATACTAGAGTAAGTTGGAATCCACAAAGGCCACGAAAACGAAGAAGAGTGTGATTGTGTTATAATTTATTACTAATTGCAATTTGGATATGAGTATACGTTAATACATTCTGTTAAAATCTTCCATAATGTGTATTATTTTACCTTTTACGTAATTGAAGTGCATGTTGGAAACAAATTATGATTTCAATGATTAAAGATTAATTTAGTAAAATACGTATTTTGAAAAATCTCCCTATATATCGATGACTTGACTAATAGAAATTGCGGGATGCAAATTATTTTTTGGGATATTAATAATTTAACATTTATTTTTATCCTGTTTTTATTTTTCTTTTATGTATAGACAGTTTTAAATAAATACATATAGTACGTTAATTTCTCTAAAGAGGAATTAACATTCTTTGATAACATTATTGTACAATGATATTATTTCATCGTCTTATATTGATATGAGATATATTTGTTCTTTCATGTACCTGTATACTATTCTCTACAAATGACTAGATTAAATACAACTTTAAAAGAGGTAGAATTGTTTATACATATTTTTTTATATGTATGATATCTTCATCATCACGAACATTATTTTGTACAATCATTTTTTATTACACTTTGGTTTCATGAATATAATAATAAATATGTAGAATTCCACTTTTTGCATATTTTTTTTAAATCCATTTGAAAAGAATTTTTCTTTAGCGAAAATGTTATGGTATCATGCAATAATTTTTAAATTTATAAGTTAAAAAAATCTTTTTTGCAAATTAAACTTTATGAAGCCAAATTGTTTACAAAACTACAGTTAATTTTAGATGGGAAGTAGTTTAATAGAATTCTTATTTATATGCAATATAATTTCAAAAATGATACTAAAATCAGATGTAATACTAAAAAAAAATTAATACTGAAAACAGATATGATTAAAAAAAGTTAAAAATTCTTTTATTAGATAAACTCGTCAAGATATTTTCATACGAGAGAAAAATTCTATTTCAAATTGATCAAAGAACTTATCGTTAAAGAGTAACATGTACGCGAGAAGGATACTTTGTAAATTTATTAGCCATAAATAGAATTTATCAAGTTCATTTTTTTTTTTTTTTGAGTTTGGGATAAATAATAACTATTTAACTACCAGAATAATTGCACGCATATATTTTTTAACGAATTTACGTTAATTATTGGGTTTATCCGAAAATAGTTTTATAATCTTTTTTGTTCATCTCTACAGTACGTTTTTTATTTTAAATAATGAATATATCCATCAGCTGCATTTATTATCGCATTCTGATAGAAAAATTTTTCACGCTAAACTCTCGTGATCGTATATTTCGACATAGGAATTTATAATTATTTGAATACTGTTTACAATCTTTAGCAATCAAAAATAGTCATTTTTAAGTTGAAAATATTTTTAGTGCGGCAATAATAAATAATCTTTAATTAAAATCCTTGCATCATATTTTTAATATGGAAAAAGTCTTCTGTAAAGATGTTCTGTAAAGATAATTGTTTAATATAATATTTTACTGGTAGAACACAAAATTGATTCAATTATTTTAAAATCAAAATGTAAATGGTTTGATAGGAAGATTATTCAGATATTTTGTGTAGATATAAAAATTAAAAAATTATAAATTATTTACATTTTTGTCATGTGAATAACCGCATTATGTGCATTTTTAACATTTGATTTTTCTACGGAATATATAGATTTAAGAGAATTGTTTAATTTTAAGATAGGTATTTTAAATTCAAATAAATCTGTCTATTTTAATTTGATAATTTCTCTGTGCCACACATTAATTATGAAATGTGAGGAAAGATTTCATGTTTGAAAAATGCAAGATGCAAAATGACATTATTGCATATAATAGATTTTTTACAATAAATATATAAAATAATACTTAAACTATATAAATATATCTCAGTTTCAGAAAAACTAATAACACTTATCACATTTGTTATTTTGCTAGCTAACTATCACATTTTGTGAATATGGTAAAATATTGATAACGTCACCATATAACAGATCTTAATGGTCCAATTATCGGCTCATTATCTTACTGAACTTTCTTTCTCTAGTTATATTACAAGTAACTGTAATATATAAGCTTAGGAAAAACTTTGAATAAATTGTCCCAGTTATTAATGCGGTGTGCATTGTATACAACCGAGCTCACTGTTAAACGAAATTGTCAAAACAGCGAAACGGAAATTCGCATTTTCTTCCGCGTTGAGGTTTATCGGCCAGACTGCATTTCTTGCGTGATCCAAGAGACATAATCGGAAACTCTTACGTAAATGCCAGGAAGTCGTGATCTGCCACAACCAATACCAGTCGAAACCACTCCGATGACCATCAACGGGCCGGTAGGGTGACTTCCGACCATCAGGGGCCCGCCGCTGTCAGCCTAGAATAAAATACAGGATGCATGCAGTTGTCCTGTAAGCTTCCGTGGTTATGGTAAACGATGCGGTGCAAATTCCACTTGCTCTAATACGGATTGCTGGGTTGCGGGAGTATCCATCACGATGGGTTTCGGTATCGTTCCACGCGGATCCGGATCGTAAATCTCGTCTCTGGGAATTCTCAAGATGGAAACGGGCTTTTAACGGTACTACTACGTTTATTGTCGTCGGTATTTCGCGCCATGCGTTAATATCGTTTGAATAATCTAGAGAATTTATATATTGCGCTTCTCCTCTCTTTTGTGACAAACTACAAGGAAAAATCTTTAACTGTTCATGATTAAATAATGTTGAAATCTCGATATTTTTATTAGAAAAAAAGTTTATTAAATGAGGATATACCATTTAATTCGCTAAAATGCTCCTATTGAACAATAGGACTTAATTTATTTACTAAACTTTTTAAAATAAGATTAAAGAAAATGATCGTCTTACGTATCGGAATCTCTCTCGCGCAGCTATTAAAAAGATATCTGAAATTATTAGAGAAATAATTGATCATCTTTCGACACGCTAAATGTATTATATAACATTCTTCAACTCCGATTCACGCTACGTCCAATATATCTTGAAATCAATTTTTATAGTTGCCAGTCGTAGTTCTTGCGCAAACGAGGTAAACAGGAAATCTAGCACATCTCAACTCCCATCGGAACCTTCAGCGAGATTGTACTTTCGAGACTTCGTTCTTCCTTGATATATCTCAAAGCAATACGTCCGTTTTCGATTGTTTTCTCAGGAATATCTTCGTCTGGAGGAAATATAAATTGCTGATAAGGGCGCGGTAGAGATCCGAAGGAAACTTATCAGGGACAAGATCGGGGATGGTATTCTCATTTTTGTTCCGATGGACGTCGACTTGGTAATATCGTGGTAGGATTCCCATGGGAGGTTCCTTCGCGGAAACTGCTGTTAGTCTCAATTGACCTAAATTTAGTACTTGCGTGTTGAAGAAGGTGTATATCTCGTCCTCATTAAGAAGAATATGGAATAACAAGGGAATATAGCAAGGAAATCATTGGCTCTCAAAATTATTATGACATACGGCCTACATCTCTTCTGTTTCTTAAAATAAAAAGAAAAGTAGCATAATTTTTAGATAAATATAACATATGCACTTATACGTGTGCATGCATTCGTAATATTCATATACTAACAGTGGCTATATATATCAATCCATATATTAATTTATTTTTTCAGAAATATTGGAAATTTGTTTTGTGTATTTTAGTAAATTGAATATTACTAATCATTAAAAAAAATGATTTTTTTCTTACTACATGCACTTGATATAAAATAGTTATTTATTTTATTTCTTCGTTATATTCATCCTTAATATAAATGTGAACTTTGTTTTAAAAATCTTTGAAATATCTTTTTATGTCTTATCGAGCAATCAAGGTGACAACGTAGCTTGTATAATACTCCTCGTTCTTTTAATAAACGTTATCGCTCCTTCTCCAGTCCCTACTGTTACAATTTCGCATAAATAGCGGCCCACGTTGGAGATTCGCAGAGCGAGGCCAATGCAATTATATACGATCCAATTACCGGGGACCAGTATCATCCAGCATGGTCGGCTATCATGCCTGAACAGCATTGTATGCGCATTACCACGGTAGCGTGGGTATTTATTGAAATTCGCGTCGTGCCCGCCCGACGAACCATGAATTCCATGATCGGGCGATTGACAAGCGGCGTCGAGCGAGCAGCGATGCGGGAACGCAAAAATGCGAGTGCATCTCACGCGGATGTTTCGCGCGACCGAAAGATGAATTCGCGGCGAACGCCTTTTTTACTTACATAGCAGGAATCCATCCCGCCTTCCTCCCAGCCGGCGCACATTTGCTTCGTACCAACGCTGATCGACTTGCCCTGACTCGCGTACCATTCTCCACACACAGTGTTCGTCACCACGCGAACCTCCACTTTCTGCAGCACGGTTGCTCTCTTGGCTGGAACATAACAGCGATTTGTATGCTGTTTGCACGCGCCGCGTCTTTCGCGGACAGATTATTGCTTACATTCGTCGTTGTCCCAAGACAAGACTCCGAATATCATTAAAACCGACTTATTTAGCTCGACTATGCAAACGGTTCAATGTCCGAGAAAACATTTCAAAATCATTACAAATGTTAAAATCATATCTATGATGTTTAAATTTAATAAAGCTACATGCTTAAATATAAATGGATATCATGTTGCTGACACATTATGAAGAACTGTTACACGCAAAGCATTATTCACGAAAACATAACAAACATTATTCATGGAAAGCCATAATGCATTTTAACGGATGAGTTTAATTAATAATTGCTACATATCTCGTTTATGTTATAATCTAATTGTTGCATTAATTATAATATCTAAAATACTTTACAATTTTAAGAGTGTAATTAATATACTCTATTAAATGAGTCTAGTTAATTATACCAATTTGAAATTGATTAGAAGACACAAAATATTACGTAAAATTAGACAATTATTGAATATAATGTATTAAGCAATTTTGTTTATTGAAATATTTATCAAAGATCTTTTATTATAATTCAATACATAACGTACAAAATCTTTATAATTCTATTATAATCAACGTTTCATATTAAAAAAACTTTTTTCGTGGAAGCAATATGCATCTTGATGACATGTGTTCTATAAGTAAAATGATCTTGTCCATTTTATTGATTCAGAGAAACAGATGGAGGGGAAGGGGGAGGGAGAGAGAGAGGGAGAGAGAGAGAGAGAGAGAGAGAGAGAGAGTGTTGGTATATTTCCACGCTATGGGACTTCAACGCTCGCAGGAACTTTGGTGATTATGGAAACTTTGGCGCGTGTTTCGTCGCTCCGATCGTTATCGTGATAAGATTTATCGAAACTTCAAGCTTACCGATGTATCTTAGGTATTTATGAAGACCCTGATATTCGCAACTTGGTCGACGATCAAATAGAATCTCGGCGTACTCGCCGCGTCTTTAACAGATATTCGCTCACCACCCGTAAATTATGTAATCCCGTTCGCGTATAAAAATACGAAGATAGTCTCCAAGTACGTCAATTATTATTGATAACTGACAGAAATCGAAAGCGTTCGAAAACGCGTAAACGCCGTTGATAATCGCGTTGACGCGAGGTTAAATATTTCATAACGCTTCAAAGGAAAATTCTTCTTTAAGAATAAATTATATGGTATTATGTGATATGAATTACGCGACGAATTGGAACTTTGGATGTGGCGTCTTGGTAACTTATAATGACGTTAGGTTTGCCAAAGTCTCAAAGTACGCGATTAGCTGATGTAACGAGAACTAATCCCGGAGGCGCCGCGTCATGCCGCGCCGCGCGCCGTCGCCCCGTACGTAATTTCTCGGTATCGAAAGAGGGACAATTATTTACTCACAATTACTTGTATCTTCTCCGAGCCATCCCCATCCGGCTACTACAGCTTCCATACCGCCGAAGGCACTATACCCTGGTTTTCCTGTGGCCACAGGTAAACATGCGGGTTTCACGCTTTCCGACCAACTGATCGGTCTAGCGACTTCCAGCAGTGCAATATCGTCCACATACTTGCCGCACCTGTGACCAGGATGCAACACCGCGTTTATGACGCTTTCATGTCTTGCGGCCGGCACTTCTGGAGCCCTTAAATTGTGTTCGCCCAAAGTGACACGTAATTGTCCTATTGGAATTTTGTTCGTGCCGCTGAAATTGAAGCGAAGACGAAAAGATTTAATTTGCGAACATATTATTTAGCAAGTGCTATTGAACTGATAATATTTTTCTCTTCTCTCTCTCTCTCTTTTTCTCTTTTTTTTTTCAAAAGAAATATACGTGCTACAGAATGCGAAAAGTATAAATTACGTTGATTAATTAATACATAACTTTTTAATTGGTATTAAGCAATATACTCGTAGGTATAATAAGTATATTATAATTATGTACATGAAATCAAAATTGAAGCGTCCAATTCATTTTCTTGTGTTTTTATAACAATAATCCAGAAAATAAAAGACAATGATGCATCATTATGAAAAGGAATAATAATATATGCATTCTATTTAGATAAAATTATTAGTTATTGCAATTATTATATTCGAGTAAAATAGAACAAAAAAATTATACAGACATATGTGCACGTCTTTTATATATGTGTTTTATGTGTCACGTATAACAAACTCACAAAAAGTTTGAAATGAATAATTTCAATATTTGGGAAATCGCGAGACGTCGGACTTACACGCCTTCTATAAAAATCTTTATTCTCGCATCGTAAAAATCGTGAGCGAAAAACAAAACGGTATTCCTTATTCTTTCTTTGGTTTCCTCGCAAGGAATCCAAGTCTGACATCGGAACACCAGCGAGTAATCATCGCCATACAATTTTAGGGTACCGAGAATAGAAATATTCGAGGCGGAAAGTCCCTTACCATCGATGTATTTCTCCATTTTCTTCCCCGCCTAAACCCCCCTTAACTGTGCCGACGAATTCCAGCTCTTTCGCAGTTTCTTTCCCTTGGACGTCAGTAATTATTTAACCGGGATTTTTGTCCCGCTCGAACGTCGCGTCTGCAGAGTTCTCTTGAATGCCTGACCCGGCTAGAGTGGCTTCAGTTAATTAATCGGTCCACAGTACCTCTGAATAATTAACAATATTACGGCACCCCCTCCATCAGGACTATCCGCTCCATCCGCGTGCCCACCGCCCCCGTCCCGCATCTCGTGACTGTGTTTCGTAAGCCCGTGCCGTCAGCCCGTCCCACTTTTGTCAGTAACCCCTTGCATATCTTCTGGAGTTTATCGCGGAGCGTTTTCTAAGTTTCCAGGCCCTGTTTCACCGCCGCTCCTTACAAAGCCGCCTTAATGGACCTTTCCATCGTCGTCGAGTCCCCGCTATTGTTCCGCGGCTCATGGATTATACGGTTTACTTTCAATGCATCTCCGGCACTCGCTTCTCTTTCCTCGGCGTCGCACCCTTCCAATTAAAATGCACGAGCGCTCAGGCGGATCGCAGCGGGGACCGTTGCTCGTTGCAATGAGATGCATTGCGACGACAGCAATGCTGATTTGTTTAGGCAAACGTTTAATATAATAAGCCAGCGTTTATTATGTCGAGCGTTTGCTCGAGATAAATCGGCAGCTCGGTTCGTGAAAAATTTACTTCAAATACGTTGCGCAATTTGCTATCAAAGTTGGGATTTGCACTTATTACTTTCTTTGTTTAGTATACTCGAATATGTCCGTGCAAAATTCGGATATTTTCATTTATTAAAAGTTTTTAAATTTTTTGTAGTGTTTTTTTATTTATTCGAAAGACAAGTAAAACGAAGAGCAGCATTGATGTACACCTTCCAGTCTATTAAAATAAAATTAAGGTTAATTAAATTGTTCGGTCTACACAATCACAGTTGCATTCTATTCTCATTGTACGAATAATATTTGCTACCCGGGACTACGACTGATTTTTTTTCTATTGGCAGCTTCGTTAAAAATTAATTGGACGCCGAATCGGTAAATCGAATGGAATTAATTTCGATCCGGCTCGTTAAATCGTGCGGCTCTTCTGGCACTGGTATATCGGCACACAGACGCGTTCGTGAATTACGCAACGTTGCACGCAGAATGACGTTGGTAATAAGGTACTGGTGAACATTAATTTACCGTAGGATATCGCCGAACGAGATATATCGACGCTGCGTCGCTAGGCTGCCAGTTCTTGTATCACTATACAAGGACATAATTCATACCTGCTTGCGTGACAATTAATCAACCGTATTATTCACAGCGCGCGTATTGTATTAAAAGTAATTGGTCGCCACATAATTAATTCGATAGAACAGCGCGTTATAATTTATTTAATTATTTACTAGCCTAACAAGTTCCATTTTCTATACTCACGGCTTGTGCCGCACGAAAATATAAACACAATTTTAGACAAAAATTTTTTTCAGATAACAAATGTTATTCGATAAAGTACTTCCCGTTTTATAGGCATGCAATTTTAGAACAAATTTTTAGTAATTTACATTTAAAGGTTTAAATTCGCTGTGACGCTGAAAGAGATGATTATGCGATGGAAGCGCAACGTTTTTATTTAACAAATATTGAATCATATAATAATATTTCTAAACCGATTATCCACTGTTGCATTTATGTTAGCTGGAATCTCTAAAAATGTCAAGAGAGAGCTGCGATGAATTTTTCCCAATTTTTTTTTCTTGATACATGGTAACAAGGGATCTAGTCGCCATAAATTTGGCGCAACGAGGCGTTAGGTATCACTGGTGAGCGTCGGGTTGTCTATTTTTGCGCGTAAATGATACCAAGCGGTGAGAAAAACTAAAAGGGAAGGGGGATGAGGTAAAGTGAGACGATAGTGGACACAGCCACCTTCATTTTCACGCTCTCTCGCCTCGCATCTTGTTGCAGCGCTTTCCATACGTTTTGCATGGCCGCTAGCAATTACCGAGTGGTCTGTAATCTACACGCAATCATGGTTTACAAGGCCAAAACTCGACGCTGAATTCTCTCTACGGTCGCTCGTCGCCCCCAAACGGCCTCTATTGCCCTCTCCAGCCCGTTCTTCTGTAATCTGTTCAGTGACCAAGAGGGATACGCAATATCTGTACGTTTTGTTGCCCACCCGGCTATGGGTCTATTCGCCCGTTTAATTATATCTACACGAAAGCTATCCTGGATATATTGCCGGTGTAGCTGTGCAAACTCGTCTGCTGCGTGGTGATAGTGATTCATTTATAATACGCGTACTAAAAAGAAACTCCTTCCTCATTTTGATTTAGTGTTGTCGGAAGCAAGAGCTGGAAGTTTAGATAGACTTTCAGTGACATACAATGTATAATTTTTCGCTTAGTACAATATACAGAAAGATTTGCGAGCTTTAACTTTTTTGCAGTGTTTATATATATGTATTTTGTGTATATGTATTTTATTAGGAACTGTATATTTATTGATTAATTAGCGACACGCTGACGAATTTTACGCAAATGTTTGTTGTGAGATTTTTGCTTTGTTTTTTTATTTGAAACGTTTTGCTTGACACAGTAACACGATGAAAATCACATACGGTACATATCTATTTGCTATATTTATATAACAGGCATATAGAAACATTTCTGTGATATTGGTTAAATTTTAAAATAACTTTTACGTCAGCCATCATTTTTATACGTGCGTATCAAGTTCTTTTCCCTTTGAGGAGCGTGATTTATTTTTCGCGATATAATGGCAGTATAGCAGCAATTTTAAAAAAAGAGGGATTGTTTGTAAATGAGATAAACCTGCGCATATCTCATACACAATCATAAATTTGAATAATTACTGACAGTATTTTATATGTATAATTTGAATTTAAAAAATTTCGAAATATTTAAAAATATGTTGATAACGTAAATCTAGTTGAAATATCAAAATCAGGAATCAGTACAAGCCACAGATTAATTATTCTTTTATTAATTTGAAAAATCTGAAATAATTTTTTTTAAGCGTGTCGAAAGCTGTTATAATTTATTGCAAGTTTTCAAGTTTTATAAAGGGTAAAACTATTATTATTATTATTATTGTGTGAAAAAAAAAAACTGACAAAATCGATATGCAATAAAAATTCTCAATAGCCAAAATGGAATACTTTTATACATAGATAATCTTTGAGATAAAAATCAGGCCTTTGGCGCGGATTTAACGATATTTAATATGCGAGCATCCTATTAAAAGTTGTCAAGAAATTGTAAGTTTCAGATCGACCGTTGAAATTAAAGCCTACTTTGTAAAGGACTTAGTCTTTACAGACTCTATGTACTCCGTTAATGAAGATGCATCTTTTGAAAACTTGTTACTGGGGTATAAGCAAAATTAAAGACGTGCTATTGTATTTTAGTATTATGTCACTAATACACACCATTCTTATTTATACAATTTTAATTTTCTTTGGCAGACACATTGATTATAAAAATAAGAATTAAACAGAAACCAGTATATTTCAAATATATAAAACTGAAATAATTATACACAACAAATAAGATTTTATACACAACATTTAGATTTTTTGTTATATGCAATATTTATTTCAATTCTGAAAAATTTCTAATTAATTCATTAAAAAATTTATTTAATATACAGATTAATAGCGGGGATTTAAATATTTTCTGAGTCATTTAAGATAAACACTTTTTCGATGATAAACAGTAAACCATCAATATCAGTTAAAAAATTATCAGAAATCATCAGCAAAAGTTTGCGATTTCTGTATATACAATACAAAAATGCAGCGTTACAACTTGTAATATGTAAATTATTAAAATATAAATTACTCACGCACATAAACAGTGTCCAGCAGTCAATACGAATTTGTCGTTCAAAATAGCGCCGCCGCAAAAGTGTCCACCTTTTCTTGTTATGGAAACGAGCCATGGAAATTCACGTGGCGCCGCATCTTGACCTCCGACAATCCTCGCTTCTCGTGTCCTCTCACTCCTACCGCACGGAACATCTGCCACTATCAAATACGGATTTCCTCGATTAATGCTCAATAACGATTAATTGCCTTGGCGATCTCGTTGCGAGGCCTGGTGCAAATACCCAACTCGCCCGATACCCCGAGCCACCAACATTGATGGATAGTGACACGATCTTAGACGCCTGGCTTGATCTCGTTTTTACTTTTTGTCGCGCAAATAAAACGAAGACGAGTATCGGTACACTGAAAGTATTTAGAGAGTCGTCAAATAGGATGACGCGCTCTGTAATCTATTTAACGATACTCTTAGCGAACGCCATCGTCCGTCCCCCTTCTATTTTAATAAGAACATTTTACTTTTATGGGACTGATTGGACATCCAATTAACACCGCGTCGTTTCCTCACAATTAGTGCCTTTTCCTATATATATTTTCGTTTTTCTTTTTTTTATTATATATTTCCATGCAAGAGAATTTACCGTCACCAGTTTTCGACGAAAATGCATATCTATAAATCGCGCTGTATTATAAAATAGGACCCATTTTACAACTTTTTTATCCTACGTTTTTTATTATTTATTTTACTACTAATATTATTAACACATTACGTTCGTTCGATACTTTATTCATCAGGGATAAATTGTTCGCGAACTCATTCGGAAATTTAAGAGAACCGAGGATCGCCTGAAACATCGCAATTGTTATCAAATGTTGTTAGTATCGGTCATCGGTCCATGTTTCGATTATTCCGATCCGTAGGGAATTACCATCTGCACTCTTGTTGACGAGAGCATATTGACAGGTTATCGATCGTCCTTAGTATTTGATGATTAATGTTCGTGACGTGGCGTAAATGAGTAGAGCGACTTCTATGTATAATAGTAATGTCGGAAGACTGATGAGTGACAATGCGATTAATTTTAAGGATAGATGTAATAGATTATAATCATACAATTTATCAAAAGTTGTACAAACTAATTCGAAAATGGAATTTCTTTGAAGAGAGATTTACGGTGAATTATAAGATTATAAACTAATATTCATGATTGTCGTAAATATCGTGAAAAATCAAGATAAAAGTATTTATAAAAACAATATCGTCTGTCGCTTAAAAAAATTTCGAAAATTTTGTTTTTTATCGATGCAAAAAATGTAAAACTTTTATACTTAAATTCGCTTCGCGTATGTTTGCCATTTTTATCACAATCTTAATTGAAACGTTATAAGGAGTGATCATTAATATATTATAGTTATAAAGATATGCTGATAGTTTTATCTCAACATTAATTAAAAGAAAGACCATTTATTATTTCGTTAACACGATAAATGCGGTCACATAGCGAAGGCGCGTTTGACTGCAATTGTATATCATTATACCACAGACATTAATCATAAATTGTGTTATTAATTAATAATAATTAGATTGCACCAATTACGTCGATCGTAATTGATTCGACTATTGTAGAAAGAACATAGAAAAGCCTTTTCAATGGTTTATTATTAGATATTTCGGTTTGAATAATAAATCATTATTAAATCTTTTGGTTCTAATAATAAACTATTGAAAAAAATAACAAATTGTTATTAATAAAACACAATCCAAACCATATATTTCCAGATTGTAAATCATCTTTCAGAAGAAAAAAAGAATTGATTTCTCTGATTGTGAAAGAATTGATTCGTACTTTTCTATAATTGATTTAATCATGTATAGATACATATTCGTAAAGTATGAGAGACAAACAATCGGCTCGATATCAATCAATTAAGGAGTATTCGCAATATATCAGACACTTTTGAGAGCATACTTTAAATCGAACCTCATATCGACTTTTTTCATTTTCGAGTGACCTCGGAGAAGTCGAAGGTGCGTTCTTAATACTTGTCTCGGCGCGATCTAATTGGCGCGGCGCGTCTGTTTGTGTTGCATTTAATTGAAATCCGAAATCGCCGCGTTACCGAAATGTTAACCGATTCGAGCGAATCCCTTCTCGTGGCGACACAACGCTTGGCGCACGGATTTAATGCCCCGAGCAGATAGGGACAGATACGGCGGATCTGTCACTACAATCCCTGCAACGTCCCTGTCCCGCGCGCCCTGGTTACCCTCTTCCCCACACGCCTCTCGTCATCCCCCCCTCGAACCCACCCACAAGTCGATCCCTCTCTCGTTTCACGCCTCGACTGATTAATTGGACCTCTACGCCTACACCACCACATTTCCACCCACCCCGTCGCTCTTCCACAACGGGCGAGGAAAGCACGTCGAAGCGGCCGAGAGGGAGGCGTTGGTAGCATAGAATTCGAAGTCGCCTCTATTCCGAAACGCGTAATAGATATGTCAAAAGCAGCCTGGGGATCATGATAATACAACCGATGCCTTTGGTGACCAGGTTTAGCGTGTGGAGGCACCCCGTTTATCCTTCTAGCCGGGTCGATTGTGCTCGGGGAGTGTCGGAAAAAAAGCTTTCTCTCTCTCTCTTCGCATGTCTTTGGAAAAGCCTGCCATAAATCGACGGTATCTTGACAGTCGAAGTTGCGGTGCGTTTATTGTGTTGGCAAAGTAGATCGTATGCGAATTCATGAAGACATAATGTGCGAGAAATGATGTCATGTCGCTGAGAGACAAGTATTTATTATGGTGATTCGCTTTTTTAACCGATCAATTAGAACAATCAATGGATCATTCAAATTGCATATAATTAACATCAAATCCCCTTAACACTTTCGCAGCCGGTGATTCTAGCGCGCGGTTTAAAATTGGGAACCGCGTGAAAATTTGTTTCATTTTTGGATCAAAATTATTTTCACCTTCGTTCAAACGTTCATTTTGATGAACTTGGATTTATTGTTAGATAGTTGTAGTAATCATAAATATGAATCATGAAATCATCTGCCCTCCTATAAACATAAAATTACGTCAGCAGTATAGATCGTAAGTGACGTCAAATTACGTCAGCGGCTGCGAATGTGTTAATGACGTCGTTTGCGACAATGTACACGTTAGATATGAAGGAGATTATACTTCGTTTGATATTGATTCTCTGCCAACGATAAGATAAATCTGGAGATAACCATGGACATCTGTCGGAACAATTTTGGGCTCAATATCTCACCTGAAAAACCAACGAGATAAAAAGTGCTTTGCAGATTACTCACCGAGTAATTATATTAAGTGTTCTCTCTGGGCCAATTTAAAATGTTACAAATCCAAAATCCGTACCGTAATGCATTTAACGCAACGGCGTTTTAAAGGGAACCGTTCCAATTGTTTCAATACGTATTAAGAGTAACGTACTTATATCTCACCGATAATTTTCCAACTAATAAATTCCACAACTTCAATAATATTTTTTCGATAGGTAAGGTATACAAATTGTTTCTCATTATATGTATAACGAAAATCAGTGCATTATTTTCACGATTTATCATATTAGAGTATTTGAAGTGCATATTAGAAAGGAATTTGATTTAAAAAGAATTGAGATATCAATCTTTTTAAAAATATAATAAATTCTAAATATATACTAAATATGTTTCTATAATTTATATTTGTATAATATCACTGATCGCATAAATAATGGATGGTTCGTGTTTTTTTTTCTTGTATCTTCTTCAATAAGCCGTCAGTTTGCCGGCATTAGAAGTTTATGGAGACTTCTTGCGGCCTCGAGCAGGTTAAGAACCTTCTTGATATCGTCCGTCATGATTTTGACATTGAATGGTCGTTGACAAAATCTGGAGTTACTCAGCTACACCGAGGTCGTGTATTTCCCAACTTCCGGCCTTCGGCAAGGCTTATTCACTAATTCTTCAGTTTACACATATGTATTCACTTTTTGTGCGAAAAAGCAGGTGTCGGTGTAAAAAGTGCAACTGGTTTTTTTTTCTTATAGACTGGAACTATTCGCACCGTCATTCGACAAAGTTTATTTCCTCAATTTTGAGCACTTTCATGAAATATATCATTACTTTTTCTGTTAGCGGTAAACCACATTTTTTCGATTTTTGACGCGGCCATATATTCGAGTGATCGTAAACTGCGATGTAACAGCAACGTAATTTGCGCGCAAACGTAATTTATTTATCGACCGAAATAACGGTAGTGTCCCAGTCGAATATTTCACATGCGAGGAAGATATTTTTCCACGTAATACCGATTACCTTTTATTTACAAATCGCTGAATTTAAAACGAGTCAATTGAATTTATGAAAAATATTTTAATAATGTTAATAAGGTATATATTTATGCGAAATAAATAACGCATGCCAGAAGTTTTGGACATAAAATTTCGGGAAATAATATTATTTGTTTAATGGATGCCAGATCCTGATTACGGCCTGTCGAACGGTGATAATTATCAAAATGTTATTCAGTCTCGACGACCGCGACGGTATGAAAGAGTAATTATTTTTAACGTTGTATTGCACCCACGGTATGTTGCATAATCTCGCGGTTGATTATTCAGTCACGATGCGTGAAATTAATGTTTATAATAATCAATGTAATTGTTCAGCGAAGGAACGGTTGACAGGTAGCTATCGATCTGATGAATAAACCACTTTGCTTTGCTTCCATATAATATTGAGCCTAAATATTTGATAGAAACGGCCGTTTTATTGCCGGTAAAGCAAATAATTACCTTTATTAAATTCACCCGGGCGCCAGCGCTCTATCTGATGTTTCGTGCTAAAGAGTGAATTGTAAACGAGATAATGACACTATACAACCTGCATTATGCACCGGGACGTGTTGTTCAAATAATCTATCAACGCGCTGTCTCTGGCACAGGAGCTTTTTCGGACGTAAATCAACATGGGAGACAATTTTTTGCGGAGCGTTAATTCCATCATTTTTTCCATGTGCATGCATTTTATCTCGATCGTCCAGTCGGTTGGCCGTCGAAATTTGACACGCGGAATGAAATATTTACCCATCCCTGTGCTACTTGTTTGAAATAACCGGAATCGATATTAAAAGACCATTATAAATTGTGTCAAAATCTGCTAAAAAATATATTTCGATAAAAAAAAATTAAAATTCTTTAAAAGATTTGTCCTTAAAGAATCTTGTAAGCTGTACAATAAGTTATCTAATAATCTGCTAAATTTTATTAAACGATTGAAAAATTAAACGAAAAATTGAACTTATTGTTAGTCTAAAACTCATCGAAGCATGATTTAGCAAGGTGTATATTTTATCTGTGATCAGATAGATTACAATTATGTGATTACAAGCTCTATTAGTCATATTAATTTCATGCGATTAGTTATATGCTTGGTATGTTAGTGTTTAATTGCTTGATTGCCTGTTTGTTGTTTGTTCCATCAAATATTCGAATAGTATTAATAAAACAGTTATTGAAAAATATTTTCGGGTGTTGTCTTAAAAATTAAAGATAAATATCTATTTCATTTACTTAAATTATGTTTTTTATAATCGATATTAGGATGAGAAACTTTTGAGTAACTTTGTATATTAGTCAAGAAAATATTAATCGTGCCAATCTAAATTGTGCCAAATATATGCTTGAAATTAAAATAAAATAGTAAATTGTAATTTTTAACAAATGTTTTCGAGAATAGGAATATATTTAGATTGATCTATCATGTTTCTTTCTATTATTCTCTTTTGCTTCAGTCTCTCGTTAAGTTATTCTCGAGTATTGGTTGGCAGTGGGAAGCGAATATTCTAGCTACGCTAATGGTGAACACTAAATTCGGTTTATTAACTTCCGGTGTTCCAACGTAATCCGCAAGCTTCTATTTCGAATTCTCCATTGACTTCCGCTCGCCGTCTAATGCCTCCACTCCGGCTAAATGGATGCCAACCCGCAGAAAATCTCGAGAGCGGCCGTTATCGGTCGATCTCGTCGTCAGACGCGGCAACGAACCGTAGTATAAAATGCACTTAATAATATGCGACCGCTGTTCCAACCATTGGAAAATACATTTTGGTGTTTCCTGCGCCGACTTTGCAACAAGACTCGTCAATTTGTAATAAACTTCCTCTACGTGATTTCTATTATGTCATTTAGTTGGTAATTACATCACAAGAATTTATCAATAAAATATTAAATAATATCAATCAAAGAAAATGGAGCATCGAGCCGTAATAAAGGTGTTGGTGTTCATTTATTCTATATTTAAGTAAAAACTACAAACTAAATAGATAAAATTATTACAATTTTACAGTACGGTCCACTCCTAATTCAGCGATTCAACTGTTGCGTTAATTTAATTTTTTTGTAACGTATTTTAACTTCTTAACCAAATTTTTAATCGAATGACTTAATTGTTATGCGACACTGAGGATGGTCCTATAAAGGTCCGAAACGTTTGTAGTTTTTACTTAAATATAAAATATATGAATTCACACCAACACCTTGTTACGGCTCGATGCTCCATTTTCTTTCGATTAATTTTTAATCTTGTGAGCCTTTATTATTATATTAAATAATATGTTTAACTGCAAGTTAAAATTAAATTAATTAATAATTAAATTTCTTGAAGATATTTATCAATATTTCTGAAAAGTTATCTGTAATTGTTAATCTAAATTAACATTAATATGAAAAAATTGTTAGGAAATTGCAAAAGTTATTTTGTCTAAAGAAAGATTACTGATGATGAAAGTATGATGGAAGAAGTTGAATATAAAATAACACAATTATTCAAACTTCTCGGAATAATAATAATCAAGTGAAGTATGCTGCATAATACGTCACGCAGTAATAGTATATTGTGTACTAAGGGGAGAAAGCAGCATTTTTCAGTCTCGTTTCGGCTCGGGCGGCAAACTTCACACTCGTTTGAAAAACGCTGCTTTCTCCCCTTGGTGCACAATATACTATTTCGAAAAATTAATTGCAACGGGAATAGTTGGCGAACTTCTCAGAGTTTCGAGTGAACTGACTAATACAGAGTTTGCCATAGATGTTGTGTAGTTTGATAAAGTAAGTTTGCTACCTAAACTTTGAGAACCACAGAAGAGGCTTTAGGTTCCACTTCATGGATAGCTACGAAAATAAGTACGCGGGAGCGCCTCTTGCGCGTGATAGTATATGCTTTATGAACATTTCGTTATTACTATTACAACGCGTAATAAGACACAGCGCGCGCGGGCATCATATTTCGAGTTGCGTGCTGCAGCGTGAAATATAACATTTGCATAATTGGAGAATAAGAAATGTAATATGCAGAATTGAAAGCATAAAATAACGTTTAAATAAACGTAATTTAATGTAAAATGTCGTCATTACAATAATATTTATTGATATATTTATTGGTATATTTAGTTATAAAAAAAAACTGCAATATTTAATAAAGGAAGAATTTAACAATAATGCGGCAATTTTATTTATTAAGAATTGTTAATTATCGCAAGGCTGCTTATGAATATAGGTAATATTTAAAACAAATTTAGAAAATTAATTATAGGATATATAATTATAAAATATATAAGGATATAGTCTCTCATCGTAAACTCGCAATTATTGTAAGATTTATTTTGTTCCTGCAAGAATATTTTTCCGTCGTACTAAAAATACCTTCAGCAGCAGTCAGAGTTAAAGAAAATAATAAGGAATTTTGCTTTGTAAATGTTAAAATTTTTAAACTTATTTTCATACACATTAATATTTAGTGCTTATGTGTGTTTAAAAATACCTGTTTCTTTAAGCGATATTACTTGCAGGAGCATTATAATCTCATTTAGCAGTAAAACAGAAATTAATTGGCGAGGGTTCTACTTACAATTAGTGTATTCGGCTTGAATTCGCGTGAATAAAACTCCGAGGAATAAAACGAGCGCCAACATGTCGAATCCCGGGTGCGCCAGGCCGAATATCTCGCTTCGAAGATCCGCTGGCTTTGTCGGAGGGCAATCAAAAAGTGTCGCACTCTCGTTGATGCCGGCGCTTCTTTATACGTCGTGCAACTGCGATCGCATCTTTCTCGTCTCGATTTCTTTCTCTGTCGCCGCCCATCGCCCTTGCCATCGTCGCTTTCCGCGGTGCGTGGCGTGTCGCGAGGCCGTGAACTTCAGATCCGACAATGACTCGCGGCCATCGATATACACACGGTATTACCCGTGTGTTCGTTCGCAGCGGAAATCCACTGATAAAGCCCGAGGCGACCCTGGCGTAATATTCAAGGCGAACGTTAACGAAAATTTCTCACGCGCGAGACTGTAGATTGGTCAAAGGCCGAAGGATCAATAGAGCACTCAATTATACATTACAATTATTACATGTGTAATAAAAGTTAAATTAATTTAGCTTCTATCAATTTTTACGTGTCAATGTTCGTCGTCATGATTCTATAAGTCTTATTTCGGTTGCATTTCATGCTCGCTATACGTGCGGCACAAGGTTGACTATCGTTTGGAATCCAAATCTGCAGAGCCACACAATTAAAAATTACAATATCTATCTATGATTAATGTCTAATACAGTCTGAAGTCTCTTTTCTTTGAGAGAAAAATTTATATGGTGCGCAAACATGAAAACTTCTAAATTTTTATTTTATATGTATAATTCAGAATAATTCGGAATATATTCGTTCTCGAGAAGTACTTTTTATACTTGTTGATATACCTAATAATAAAATTAAAGATGATTTTGCATATACCATGTTCAAAGACATATACACTTTCAAAATCTATATTTAATGTTCTTTCTACGCATATTTATAATTTTACATAATGCGCTTGATGATGCTTTTAAGCACGAAATACGCGCCACATCGCAATGTACAGCAGACCAGCAGCGTCAGAGATGGTGATTGCAATCATGAACTTGTACACATATATTGCTATTACGTGAATTGCACGTACATCGCGGCTCCAGACCATCTTCGGATGGTCCGGTACCGGTTACTGCGGCGAATAAACACGGTCATCGTATGTAATCATAGCTCGCGCGTGCATACGTTCTGTACGTCGTCGCCTGTCATCGGCAAACGACAATCGGATTATGTATCTACGAGTAATCGCTGTGACAGGTGGGCAGGATAATCAGGAAACGGGAGCTGTCGTTTACGAGAGTTTCGTAACAGGTCACGCAGCAACATAGGTAGAATAGCGTAATTACGAGATTGGTGGGGTTCCGAGCCTATTTCTATTTCTAACTTCGCGGTAAGGTGTAACTGTGATTTTCAAGTCTCACAGTGTAGATGTCATGCTAAAAGGATACTCCAGAAATCAATATCAATAGCAAATAAAAGATTATTTTAGTCAGTTATCTTTTTGCAAGCGTAGTTGTAATTGCTTCTTGTTGATTGACTCCCAGTATTCATGAACCAATTGTTACATACTATATATGTATAACAATATGTAGATTGCGTAATTATGATAATTCCTTTGAGTACACCCTGCGAGTAATTTGATGATACTTTTATGAATTCGAATAAAAAATAGTGTGGCAAAATGTGGCACGTGATTACAAGGGATTTGTTTCTTCTATTTTTAGGGAGACATTCCCTTGTTAACATTTCACTTATGCGAATTTAGAAGTCTAGAATTTTGGGTGATAGAATGCCATATCCTTCAAAAGAATTGAAAGAAATAGCCGATACATACAGAGGGAGCACAATTCATCTTAAAATTTATCTCGTGCGGTCATCTCAGCGCTAACAAAACTTCGACTTATAGCTTCGGAGATATTCATCTAGTTACTGAATTTCCAAAGACGAAGATAGAGTTTGTGATTTTGTGTCGACCGATTCTAGAAGGAACTATTTCTGATATTTATCTTGCCGTATCGTGACGATACTCAATGAATGTTAATGAAAAAAAAAGAGATTGCCCGCAGACATCAATGGAAAATGTAGAACACGTACTTGAATAGCTGGCAGTGGCATCGATATGTATCTTTTGTTTTTCCTTGTTGTGATACTTGTGATATCTCTGGGCTACATATCCCTTGGCTTTTTCTCCACGACGAGAGCAAGAAGGGTCATGTGTCACGTGTAAGGATAACGATGGAACAAAGACTTCAAATGTACGATGAAAAATATAAAAAGAAAAACGAAAGCACCGAATATTCTTTACATTATTGAGAGATAAAATCTTAGAAGATTTTCACATAATAGTAGACGTTTAAGGGTTTAATAATAATTTTTTTTTCTATTGATTCAACATCCATGAACGAAGTATGAATATTTCATGATGATAATGTTAAGGGTTTGATAATAATTTTAATGAGACAATTGATTTTCTGGGTAGCTATCGTTCATATGTGCAACTGCGCTAAATTGCTTTCCCAACTTCGCGTGAATCGGTGAAAGCACGTGCCAAGAGACGTGTTCCGTGTCCATGTGGGAGTCGGGCATGTATACGTCGCAAGTGTTCATGCAGGTGCATGTGCGATCACAGGTACGCGCTACGGGGATATGAAAGCGAGAGTAACTCTGCTATTACTCCATCCACTTCCGTTGAACTTGACCCACTATATGTCCTGCGATACTATTGCTCTCGCATCTAGTACCGTGCACCTTAACGTCATTTCACCTCCTTCGTTTTCCTCTCCCTCGTTGGGGTTCACCTACGCGGTGGGAGTCGTTCGAGTTACCTGCACTCAGCAGGTAACGCGAACTATTTTCTGTAGCTTGGTAACCGATCAAGTTCGTCCCGAGACTCGTAGATGAGATAATACGGCAGACACGGAAGTCTAATTTCATCTTTGAACAGTTGAAATCACGTCAAAGATATCTTCGTATGATATTTTCGTTAAACGGAGACTGAACAATATCTGCTCCAACACGTGAGAAATTTCTTGCTAAGATAATATATTTGTTATTATAATGTCGAGTTATGATGAAGTGTCATGCGCGTAAATTATATATCTTTTTTCTTAATACATTTAAATTTGGTTTATCTAGATACAAATACAGAGCGATTAATATTATACCGTCCAGAGAAGAGATATGATTAGAATTTAATGTATTAAAGTATCCCAGTGTTTAAAAATAAACAAAATATTATAACGATTTATGTGATGTTGTGGAGATTGTTTAAGATGATTAAAAGTTGGTTGGAAAGACTCGCGGCTTAATTTTCTCTTAGTTCGCTTGTTCGAAATTACTTCCTCCATGTGTTGCGTGCGTGCAGTCAGTTCCGAGGTTGTGATTAGAAGATTTTTGACAGCGTGGCATTGCCCGCTCACGAACACGACCTAGGTAAGGTCGTGAACATTAGGTGTTACGAGATACTAGGAGTCACTGACCGAGGCCAAGCAGACAAAAGTTTTGTTCAATACACTTGAGGTAGACAGACCTTGACGGCCCGCAGTTCCGAGAACAATTGCCGCATATTTTTTCTCCATTTAGATACACATTTCCGCTGTAATTTCACGTAATAGCATGCTCGCAAATA